TCTTTCTAGGCCAGGGATTGGCCATTTTTCTTCTCTGAATGGCTGGAATCACTCCAGGGTTACAGGCCTGGAAGCATAAGCCTTGACTAAAGGGGTTTGAGAATTTGACCAACAGCCACATTGCTCACCTCTGCTCTGTTCAAAGAAGGGTCCTTGCAGTGCCCACTGTCAAGATCAATCAGGAGACATTGGGGAAATGGTTTTTGAGTTTATAGCTCTCAAAAAAAACCCAAAACCCCTGGGAGAATTTGGGAATTGCCATTCCACGGTTTTACCAATTTAGGAAATCGTGGTACAGAAGTTGCCTTGTGCCAATAGCATATCCCCACCTTTTAAAAATATGCATGTTTGAATGGTCACTATTGGCAAAATCCATGTCAGAATCTGGCCCTAGTTTTGTCTGTATGAAAATGCAAGACAAGACACAACAAGCACATGTGGGTGGAGTAGGGTGGATCAGGAACTGTTAAGATTGTGCTATGACATAAGCTAACAATGTTGATATCAAGCTATTTCACTATCTTGATTAATTAAATCACTCCCTATCAAACCACAAGCTGGCTCCAGTTCAGTATTTTCATGTCAGACTAAAATTGACTTGGGTTGGATGGGTCATAATGCCAACCCCTATTTTTTCTCTGCTGGAGAGAAAAATGATTTTCAGCTATGATATAATTATGGGGGAAAAGTCTCCTTCAGACTGTGGTTTGTACTCTGCTTGGCTGTCAGATGTATCACAATTGTCTGGGAGAAGATAAATTTTTCATCTTGCTCTCATATTTATTTCAACCACTGGTTCTCAATCTTTGATCTTGTGTTTAAGATGTCAGTTTCTAGAATCTCTGATGTTGGCCATGTTGACTGGGTCTAAAAGCTTAAGAACCTTAAGACCAAGGCTTAAGAATTGTTGGCTTAAACCTAACCTGCTTTGTTATAGCCATCATGTTCGAAGCAACTAATACCCACTCCAATAGGTCTTTCAAGATTGTAGTTTCTATCTACCCCTAGTCCTCATTTCATAGTAAAAGCCACAAATATATCTTTAAGTCAATTCTTTTATAGTACCACGCCTTAAGGCCATGAATCTCCTGTGAAACCAGCCACTCCCTACACCCTGTTTTAGCAATCTGGCCTTACTTCTTTTTAATCCTTCATTTCTTGGGTGTTCTACCCAAGGGTTGTGGGTAGAATATGGTTCATGGAATCTCCAAAATTGCCAGCTCCTGCTGAATGGGCTCTACATTGGACATTTTCTTACAGCTCAGTAAAAGCCACGGCTGTACCACTTAGCAAAGTGAGAGAGGACTGCCTCAAGCAACAGGTGTTATGGCCAGAAGAAGCCCCTGTTGGTGTTTTCATTTGTAGAGGACAGAACCGTATGAGCCACTTAATCTGTTAGGCCCCCCCCATAAAATCAAGCATGGTAGATGAGATTAGTCTATTGAAGATTCAACTGGCAGTCTAATTAGTTTCTGAACCTGGACTGTGGAGGGAGAGCCATATTTTCCTTTTCCTGAAGCAGCTGACTATCTTTGGGCTGGTTCTCTGAAGAATCAGTACATCTGAGGTTCACTCCTTGACCTAACCTACTTAAAGCAAAAATGGGCTGCCAGTCATGGTTGAGGACACTGAGTGAGATGGATCCAAGGGTCTCATTCAGTATATGGTAGTTATCCATCTTCCCATGACTTAGGAAAGCCCAAATTATTCCTATGAACAAGGAACACTCAAACATGCCCTGTCTGGTTTTTAGCCATGCACATGAAGACAGTTCTTATCCAAAATCTGCTTTTGAATCTCTCCCATTTTCAAAAGTAGTTTCAGTGTGATAATAAAGTGTGATTTATTTTTTTTTACACTTAGAGACTGTAGTTTCTCCATCTGAATCAGAGTTATTGGTTAATTTTTCTCCATGCCCAAAATGCTGCTGGGACAGAACTGGCCCAATAACCTTTTGCTGCCTGTTCTGTGCCATCACATCAGAAATGACTTGTAGTAACCCTAAGAGGGCTTTCAATGTGAGATATTTAAGTGGTAGCTTTACCAGTTCTACTCCCAAGTGTGTTTCCATGGCTGAGTGGGGATTTGAACCCAGGCCTCCTAAGCCCAAGTCCTAGTGGTACACCACACCAGGTATCACTTTGCTGCTTATGGTGAAGGTCACTATGGTCTGCCTTTCCCATCCTATGAAGAGAAGTGAACAGGATTGCCAAGTGAAACCTTCTTCATCATTACTTTCAATGAGACTACATATGAGTGAGAAGGGTAGCCTAGGGCGGTCTGGGGTGGGTTGTGTGGAGTATACTGTGGGTCAAACCGTGTTATGGATGACCTGTCATTAGAGCTGAAATCACATTAATGTTCCAGAGACATGATTTAGGCATACTGGCATGCTTCTTCAGAGTAGCAAATGAAGTTACCCATGTTTTCCCCCAAATAAGACAGGGTCTTATATTAGTTTTTGCTCCAAAAATGCATTAGGGCTTATTTTCAGGGGATGTTTTTTTTTTCATGTACAGCAATCTACATTTATTCAAATACAGTCCTGTCATCATCATCTGGTTCCTGCACAATGGTGGAGGGTGGGGGTTCACTTAACTGGGGCTTATTTTGGGGGGAAGGGCTTATATGACAAGCATCCTGAAAAATCCTACTAGGGCTTATTTTCAGGTTAGGTCTTTTTTTCATGGAAACAGGGTAGTTCCCAAAGACTAATAACAAAACAAAGCAAACTAATTTGCAAATTATGTGAGGTGACAGAAGCTTAATTTGCATCAAGCAGATGCTTTTGGCAAATAAGCAATTCTGTCTATTAATAGTGGGTTATCTGTTATATATAGTTTAGCCCATCCTCGTTGGCTAAGGCCAATGAGAGATTTAGTCTTACAACACAGTGAAGAACAGAGGTTCCCCAAACCTAATTTACAGCATCCTACCTGTCCTTTAAAAAGATGCAAAACCTGTTTAATTTTTTTAAACTTTAAACTGCATCTTTCGTAAGTGGGTTTGTGTATGTATGTTCCATCATGATTTTAACAACAACAATGTAACAACAACAACAAGAAGAAGACTCTTGATTTTTTTAGGTGTGTCACCTCGGTCCGGTCTGTTCCCATGCACCAGCAATGCTGAGAAATAAGAAATTCAGTGTGATGATGATGAGTCCCCCCCATCTGCATCCTATTAATACTACAGGAAAAATGGTTACCACCTGATGAGTTCTTTTATGAGTTCTTTTTCTTTTCTGCTTACATCCAGAACTTTTTTTGGATGACCACTTTATATGGGAACCGTCTCCTACCATTTGACCAGGATGCAGCAAATTAAACAGAACTGAAATAAAAAAGTAAACTCGTTTCATTCAGTCGCTTGTGTGATAAAGCATGAAAAATTGAGGTCAATTTTTTTAAAAAACTATTTCTGATCTGTACACTTCTCAACATTAATTCCCGATTTATTGCAAATCAACGAACTCTTTAACTAGAGAATTATTTGAATTGCTTAAAAACTGATAGAAATCTCTGAAAGAATGTTAACGGGGGAAAGGGAAATGAGAATTAAACAGAAAAAAAAAGAAAAGGAAGGAAGGGAGGAAAGAAAGAAAGACAGAAACAAAGAGAGAGAAAAAAGACAGACGTAGAGGCACCTTGCAAACAATGGGGGAATAAGGAAATACTCTGATATATGCTTAGCATAAAATTATGACGCTCTTGGATCCGGAGCGAGCCTCCTGTGGATAAAACCAAGCGCGCCTCGTTTGTCAGAGTGAAATCCGCCCGAGCGCATACGCTTAGCATAATTTCCCACCAATGTATTGCTTTTAAAGCAGCCTTTTAAAGGCTTCTTTTGCATTAATACTTCATCCCCGCCGCCCAAGGTGTGCCTGGCTGCACGTCGGGAATCACACACCACTCCGCTCGCTCTTTCCCTCCGCCCAGGAGGGGTTGCCGGGCAGCGGGCGCTGCTCCTGGGCTGCGACCCGAGTTCCTGCCGGGTTGCCTTCCAGGTCGCCCGCCTTCCCCCGCAATTACCTGGGCGCCAACCCTATAGGGCCCCGGGACGCCGGAGCCCGAGGAGGACCGACTTCCGTGAAGACATGCCCGGGAATGCCCTGCAAAGCTTCGGCTAAGCAAGCGTCTCTTTCCCTTTGGCCAGGTAAGGAGGGAAGGAGGCCGTGCGCGCTGGATGGCGACGGACTTTCTTCCCTTCATACCTCTTTCTCTCCCCCCCCAAAAAAACTTGGCTGCCTGAAAAAAGACCTTTAATTCGCCTCCCCGAGCGCGCGTCGGTGGGACAGGAAGAAAGGCAAGTTTGGGTTTTTTTATTTCCTTTTCTTCCTTTGGACTCCATCCGAGCCTTTGAACCCCCCCCCTCTTCCAGCCTGCCGGAGGCTTGATCGTCCCAGAGAACACTCCCCCCCACACAAACCCACACACACACCACTCCCCCTGCCCCGAGGAGTTTCTTTGGGACACTTCCGAGCGAGCGAGTGCCAGCGCCAAACTCCGCCCTCCCTTGAGCGCACTTTGCAAATAGGAGCGAGCGAGCGAGGCAAAAAAAAAGAGAGGGGGGGAAAGAGACGCCGCCGCCGCGGAGGGAGAGAAGCTGCCCCGGACTCGGGGCTCGAGCCGCGCAGCAGCAGAGGGTTGAGCCGGCGAGGCGAGGGAAGCGGCGCGGTAGAGAAGGGCGGCGGATCGCTCCCCTCTCTCGTCCCGGCCGTCTTCTCTCCTCCTGCGCCCCGGATGGCTTCGGCGAAGTGAACCCCC